ATGTAAATTGTTGCTATAACTTTTGTTTTTTACTAAATACTAAACTTTGTCTCCAAAAGGTGTAGTCATGTGACACGTTGTATAAGTGTATGTTTGACGAATGATATCGTCGAAAAAAAAAAGGTACACCGAGTCATTGAGAATCCTCACTTTCTTCAAGTTGGTTTCTCTTTCGCCTCGTCCTAACGGCCACAGAAAGTAATAGTAATTCATAGTAATTCTAATATATATTTTTTTAAATTTCTAATTCTAATATCCATGCATTTTTTAATGGGACATATTTTTTAGGAAACTTTTTTCTACAAAATATTTGTATACGAACAATTACCTTTTTCAATCATCATTATTTTCAATATAGGATATAGGGGAGGATGGGGCAAAACGGCCCCCCTTCAATCGTCAATATTTTCCGATTCAATAATCCGATTGGGATGAGTTAGAGCTCGTTTTGAAGAATGAAAAATTATCTTCAAAATGAAGTCAAAACTGGGAATTTTCACAATGTCATTCACAAGTTATTGACAATTGAAGGGGGCCGTTTTGCCCCACCCTCCCCTAGCTGTAAAAATAAAATTTCCTATCCATCTACAATAAAGACTTCGAATGAACAATCAATTAAATCCAGAGTAAATAATTGAAAATAATGATTCCAGCTTTTTAATTACTGAAAAAAAAATGGAACGAGAAATATAGAATGAATCCATTTGGAAGCCAATTAATGACATAACAGCACTAGGCTGAACTTACCAAAGAGTCCAAACGCATTTGTTTTTGTTTTCTGTACCATAGGGTATTCTTGGGAATGTCACGGTCTCTGTAATTTTTATACCGCCCACGTTTTCGTGATCCTTCGTCCATCATCTTTTTTTTGAAATTCAAAATTGAAAAATTATTTGCATTCTCATGCAATAAAAAACAAATGATATGAGTTGGTACGAAATTTTCCTTCAATTATCATATCATTGCAAGTTAACAACGAAAATTCAATGAGAGGAATTTATAGAATTTATACAATGATATCCACTTAAAATGCACATGTACGCTACTTGATCACCTCCAATAAGTTTATGAAAAAATTAAAAACTTTGAGCGCTGTGCATGATGTTAAAATTTCAACAAGTGAATCTTCACTTACCAAGTGAGGTTATATCGGCAGATAATCCTTATTTCAATCGTCCCATTAATTCAAATAACTCCAATAGTGATATTGTCATTATCATTCCAATAAGTTTCCCAACAGGAAATAACTATGTCCCACTAGCCACTCACTATTTGAAAAAAACAACAAATAAATATCAAACAATGATGAGTATGCACTTGCAAATGCGTCCATTGCTAACAGCCAAAGACGCCTGCTGCGCGCGCCTCAGTGGGGGGGATATAGTTGTGGCTGACCGAATGGGCATTACTCCTAGACGCGCATGTTCACGAAATAAAGCAGGACTTATTGCTTGTATTAGAATTCATCAATTTCCTTTTTGCTATTAAAGCGAGTTCAGTTATAGCTGAAAAGAAATGGATGCTTACGTTCTATTGAAAACACCGACAGGGCATTCGGAAAGAGTGACATTATTTCCATTTTCACATAATTTCCAATCAAAAGTATACTGAACTCGATAGGTAATAATGCATTAGCAATATTAACTGCACTATTTCCAACAATTCTTAGAAAACGCTTTCAGCTCGGATTAAAAACTCTTACTTTGAATTTCCTTCACATTGTGCCATACGAAATATAAAAAATGATGAATTTTATTTAATGATCATGGTATAAGCTTGCATTCTTAATGATTCTTGAAAATCATTAAATGAAAAAAAAGGTGTTTTTTTACAGCTTGATTATAATGGCAGGATTAGCATATGAATCTCTCATAAGACCTTCGTTCGCAACGGATTCGATTACTCCAGTTATAATTCGTAGCTTTCACCTCAGGGAACACGTAATTTTTCAACAGAAAAGTCTTTGAAATGAAATTTACATTGTTTAACAATTCATTAATGAGAGTATTATTTTACTTTTGTAAGAAAATTGAGCAGTTTTTCCTTTTGTGCTACCAACATTCTGGATAATCATAATCTATGACAAAATCAAATGAGGGCAGAAATGAGAGATTGAAAATTTGTTAATCAAATGGCTAATAAAAAAAATTGTGAGAATCAGGTTGATATTAAGGGCCGTCTTTCTGAGGGGTCACGTGTCCAAATTGATTTCTCAAATGACATCCAAAATAATTTTTTGATTTTGGCAAAATACACTCATGAACGAACTGAGGAAAGAGTAATCGTGAAATTTACCCCCACTTTCTCCAAAACTCAGAGCATTCTTTGTTTGCCACTTCTGACATCAAGGACTACAGACTCACCAGTCTGACAATACCGTCTTTTACCACTTCTCTCTAGAATTATATTAGAAAATTGTTATATCTTTATGTTTCATGTTTACAGAAGATACGAACTGGAGAAGGTAATAGATTATACTTTTCGTATTCAAATTCATAGGCGAAATTCGTTTTTATTTTCTATTTGGCATTTATAATTGTTTGTCGAAATTACGAACCGAAAAAAATGGAATTCATGTGCAACAAATCCTATAGACATGAAAGAAATATTTTCCATGGGAAAAATTTTTTCAAGCGAATTATAATAGGCATCTAAGAGCAATTATTTAATTTCTTCAGACATGTGGTAGTATTAAAGGCGTGGGGGATGTGGAAACTATAAGGTGAGTAAATGTGGTAGAATCTATCCTTCAATATTTACTCATTTTCGGAGGAGAGGGGATGGCTACACTCGCTTGTGAAACTAAATTCTATTACTCAGACCGTCGTGTGATCCTTAACGTTTTGAAATACGGTACATCACCAAGTTGCGAAAAATGTCGAGAACGCTAGACGACAACGAAAGGATAATTTTCCAATTCCCCGATGAAGATGATGTCGTCGACGTAGGATTCCAGAGCTTTCTCGTTAAGACCTTTACGGACAATGAGTTGGAGGAGCTAAAGATAAATGGGACGCTAGTTGCAGTGAAATGGCCAAATATTGTTATGGGCTCTGCCAAAGTGACCCAAAAAAAAATTAAAAAATGTACCTGGTCTATTCTTCAGGCAAGAATTCTCGATTTTGGCGGTAAGATTATACAATTCACGTTACAAAAAATAATTCTATTTATACAGCAAAACATAGTCACTGTCGTATATTTTATTTTGTTTTCAGAGAGGGATGTGATGACTAGGAGATGTCGTCAATTCCTCAAATCAGGTACGCTGAGCCCTCCAAAATCAGCAAGAAAAGTTTTTGCAGGTAAGTCCCTCAATAAAGAGGAACCTCCACCACAACCACAGAAGCCGAAAAAGGTTTGTTCCCAATTGATATTCATTGGAGATTATAATTCGTGAATTTACCGCATCTAATATACTTTCGGTGTTGATTATTTTCGAAGAATAAATCGATACGTATGAAAGTCAGCTATTATTTACTCGTGATATGTTTCTGTGCAGGCCAAGAAAACAAATTCAGAATTAGCAGAGGAAAACGAGGAATTATTTGACAAAATAATGAAAGACAAGATATCTGAGAACAATGAGGAAACAAAGGAGAGTCGAGAGGGTCAGATGGAACCAACAGATAAGGTGAACTCAAATTTTCCAATCACGCGATCGTTGACGTTTACAACTTCTAATCCGTATATACAATTGATATATTGAGGGAATAAACCAGAAAATAATTAAATTGGTCAAATAGAAGACTACCCGACTGACCTCCAATCTGTCTATAAATGTTTTCACTATTATTTGGAGCATAATTTTTGGTGTTTTCTATGAAAACTCGAAAAAAAAGGATGGGTGCATTTTACATCTGATCAATTAATTTATGGACCATGAAGAATTTAGATAATGTAATGAAATTGAGGTTTGATTTCTTTTCGTAGAAATCTAATCACTCTTTCGAAATGGCATCTGATTTTGAGAATATGGAGAACATTGGTGATGAAGAGGAAAAAGACAATGAAGAAGACGATGGAACTGAGGTGTATATTATTATGTTATTGAACTCAGAATAATAGCGCTGACCAATGAAAAATACTAAGGGAGATCATATTTCGTGCTCTGAGGAATAGCATAAATATTGACTACATAGAATTTCATTCACGTTTCAATATGTTTCTCTCCAATTGTTGGATGCTATATCCGAACAAATATTGGTTCTTATTGCTGTATCCTTCCATTTTATTCCCCTTTTTCATTATAAAAAGTCCTCCTCTTGATGTATTTGTATGAATTCTGATGAGCTGTGCTGTAGAATAATTGAAGAGAAACATATTTATTCGAGATATTTGACTTTATAGACGGCGCAAGAAGTAAGATCAGCAAATAAAGTATCATCACACAGCAAATCATTAACATGCAATAAGAGAATTTCCGCAATTGAAAGTGAAGGAGAATCTAGTGCGGTAAATGGCAATACTTAATATTTTATGTTTTTTTCATGCTTCAATCCGTGGGTTTAACTAATAATAATTCGTATAATTTGTATTTGGGATTCTAGGAATCACAGGATGAAGATTTCAAGACTATGATGATGTCTTTCAAATTTTCGAAATCCGCTAAGCGGCTACCTAAAGATAATAAAGTCACTAAACGCTCTACACAATCTCTTGATGATAAACAGCTGAATTCATCAAAAAAACTAGATGGATGTCCATCGCTCAGCGAATTTTTGACATGCAATCCGAGAAATTCCGCAATGGAAAGTGAAGGAGAATCCAGTTCGGTAAATGTCAACACTTAATATTTTATGTTTTTTAAATGCTCCAACTCACTGGTCTAACTGATAATTCGTATTTGTGATTTCAGGAATCACTGGATGGAGATTTCAAAACTATGATGAAGTCATTCAAGTTCTCGAAATCAGCTAAACATCTATCAAAAAATGATAAAGTTGCAAAACGCTCTATACAATCTTTTGATGATGATCAGGCAAACCCATCGAAGAAACGAGATGGGTCTCCATCACTTAGCAAATTATTGGCATGCAATAAGAGAAGTTCCGTGGTTGACAATGATATAAAATCTAGTTCGGTCAATGTCAACACTTGATATTTTATGCTCATCTTTAATTGCTCCAATCCATTGTTCAAATGATGATTCGTATTTGTGATTTCAGGGATCACAATTTGATGAAGTTGTAAACAAATCTTCCGAATCTCCTGATCATAAGGAGGCAAATTCTTTAAAGAAACGAGATGGATCTCCATCGCCCAGTCCTCTGTCAACTAAACGTACGAAGTCGGATGACAGTGAAGCAACTGAAACGGTAAAATCCACTTGAACTACCGAATTAAAAAAATTGTAGGTTCAATAGTAAGTTGGGAGGAGTAATAGCTTCTCCAATAGAATTTCATTTGAATGACACGACAACACATGCAATAAACAATCCCAGTAATTATACCTACATATTCTATTTCAACTTATCATCTGGTCGTCGAATTGAATACGTATTATGATGATCGACTTACATTTGATTATTTTTTTTAGCATAGTTTCTAAAGTTCAAACGGTGGTGTCAAATAACGTTCCATTTCATGAACTTTCACAGTTAACGCACGAAAAAGTTTTCTATAAAATCGTAATGGATTGACTTGAAAACTGGATTATTTTCCTATTAAATTTCAATCATCTTTTATCCCTTTTCTATCGACATGTTTAGTATAAAATATTGTATAAAAAATATCAATAGAATTCCATTATTCCATGGAAGTAATTTTATTGAGATATTGGTTGTATATTTCGGTATTAACGATAGTCACAAAGGACGAGTCAAGTTTTTCAATAATTCTTTCATAAGAGTGAAAAAGGGAAGATCTAATCCCAATCCAATCAAATAGTTACAAAAATGGTGTATATATGATTTCAATATCTATCATATTTGATATTTTATAAACCATTTCACGTTCGCAAAATTTTACTCTCGCAAAATTTAACATTTTCCCTTCGTGACCCTGAGGATTTTTGACCCTTATGAAGACTTACATTTTTTCCGTGACTCTGGTGATGTTTGACCCTAGATCTCTACGGCTGCATACATTCTGCTTACAGAAAAAGCACACCGATATTGGTGGTGGGATTTACATGAGAAATTCGGTACTGAGGGCTGCGAAAACTCGGCCTGATATAGAGGATGCTGCTGCTGATTTGATCAGTGCTGTATTTGATAAGGACACCTTAGCCAAATCTTCGCTCATTGGAAAGGTGTCAAACTTCCACAAGAAAAATAATCTGAGCGCCAAGCCCCAACTAGATGAACTAAAAGTGAAAGCTATTGAAGGTAAGAAAATAAAAATTGGTCTCATCAGTTGATTGAAAAAAAAGTTATAAATAAAAAAATTGGAAGCCATCAAAAAAGTTAAAAGAAAGTAGAAAAATATTTTCAAACAATTAAAAATTACGACGTTTTAGGGTTGACTGAAGTACTTCAAAATGTATCTTCTCCCATATTGTTCATGATAAAGGGATGAAATTTGGTGAATATATACGAAAAAGTTTTTGGAAAAAAATACGTTGAGGATTCTTGTTAACTTGATTTTTGGATAACAAAAAAATAAATCTTTAATTTTGAGTGATCGGCAGAAATTTCGACCTAAAAAATCAAATTTCCGAGGAAAAATGAGACAGAAATAGTATTCGGATTTTTTTTCCAAAATACACAAAAAATATTCTCGAGGTGAGCTTCCCCTTGACAGATGATTGATTAATAAAAATTTTCATTTGTAGAATTCCTCCTTCAATACTTTGGTGAGACACCAAAAAATCGTCGGCTCATCAGAGCTCGCATTACAAAAGCGTGCAACGCAGCGTCGAAAGCTCTCCGCCGAACTTAAAAGATCTGTTTTGCAAGATTGTTGCATCAAGGTTTGGTTGAACTAAAAATTAAAACTCTGTTCCATTTTGGAAAAAAATGGATAAAATATATTTTATTTAACTCTCAATTACTTTTCTTATCAACATTTGTTGTCAACAATTGGTGTCAACACATTTGATTCAAAAACAGCTGATTACGATTATTACAAAAAATGTACTGAATAACTAATTTTATAAGCAATTTGGTGACTGAATAAAGGTTTTAAAATATTTACGTGTCTCTGTTTCTCAGAGGGATGTAAGCATGCATTGCTTTTTGGCTAGAACTGAACGCGCTTCAATAGTAAAAAAAAAAGTAAATTGACGAATTTTAATAGCAATAAGTCCTGCTCTATTCCGTAAATGCGCGCGTCTAGGAATAATGCCCATTCATTCAGCCACAACTATATCCCCCCCGCCACTGAAGCGCGCGCAGCAGGCATCTTTCGCTGTTAGCAACGGACGCATTGGCAAGTGCATACTCATCATTGTTTAATTATTATTTGTTGTTTTTTCAAATAGTGATTATTATGGGATATAGTTATTCACTGTTGGGAAGCTTATTAAAATGATAATCATAATATTGATTATTGGAGTGATTTGAATTACTAGGATGATTGAAATAAGGATTATCTATAGATATAACCTCAATTGGTAAGTAAACATTCGCTTGTTGGCATTTTGACATCATGCACAGCGCTCAGAGCTTTTAATATTTTACCTTAATTTTTTTTTCTAACCGGTCGGGATCTCATTTTTTTTCCTTTATCCGACGAAATAAAGAAATTTTCAAATCCATACCGATGATTTAGCCAAAAGTCATCTTGAGTGCCCAAAAGAAAATAAGTAAAAAAAACTATGCATACAGAAAAAATGAACGATTTGGTACAGACACAGTGGAAGAAGAAAATTGAATCGAAATTTATGATTAATTTCCGTTGGTTAAAAAATAATTGGATTTTCCGATTAATTTGGATGCTAGCGTTGATTGAACAGTCTATGATGAAGATCTGTATCAAGTTATTATTATTTCCCACTTCTTTTCTTGAAAATCGTCATTCTTCTTTTTTTTTATAGTGAAAACCTATCTAGTCTTATAATTGTGCATATTTTCTATTTCGTGCGATTTCCCTTTATAAATTGTAATCTCAATTTGAGAAAATTTAAATGATTATAGAAAAGAGGAATTTGTTTTTTTTTCGTCGTGAAGTGTGAATAACTGTCTCGCTTGGTCTAGTAATGAAAGGAATGGCTCATATGATATGGAATGTGAGTCATTGATTTGAAATGAATAATCAATTCAATTTCCTTTTGAAATCTCCGCTTACTTTTATACAACTAAACAGGAGAGATACTGAGTATTCGGAAAGTATATTAAGGGGAAACGGAACCCCTGTGGCTATAAGAATTTTAGAACTGTGTTTTTTCTTACAATTATTATTTTTTTTCTATGAAACTACTTCATTGACTGCTCAATGCAATGTTCGTGTCAATGAAGTAGTTTCATAAATGAAAATTGATAATCGTTATAGAAAGCACAATTCTTAAATTCCTATAGACACGGGGGTTCCGTTTCCCCTTAAGGGTTTTGTCTTTGGCGAGTATTTCGGGAATTCTTTAAAATATGGTAATTACGTGATTTGTCAATTGATTTTGTTCATTATTTAATTATTTCGTCAGCTACATCAAGTTTTAGATTTCGTTCTAATTGCCTTTTTTGCAACATTGAATTTAATTTTTTGTTGAGATTGATTTTTACAGAAATCTTCAGCTCCATGGGAAGAAGCATGATCTGTTGTCATTGCCAACCAATTATCTTACTGTTATGATGAAGAATTCCGTTATATAACATAAATTTCCAAAAACAGTTGATAAATTTTTTGTGACTGACGTGTTAAGATCTCGAGAAAGTGGCATGTGTAGAGACCCCAGCAGTATTACCCAATGTTCGTGCGTCGAGGAGTTCGTGAGGAACCAGCATTCAACTCTGCGCATGCGCCACTGAGTCTTCAGTTGTTACATTTGTGATATTAAGAGGAAACGGTACACCGTGTCTATAAGAAATTTCGAATGGTCGTTTCTCCTACAATTATTGATTCCTATTCGTGAAACTACTTCAGGACCTCCACCACTGCATTATGCAGGTCCTGAAGTAATTTTATGAATAAAGATTGATAATTGAAGGAGAAAAGACCATCCGAAAGTGCCTATAGACACAGGGCTACCGTTACCTCTCAAGGCCCGTCTTCCTGAGGGGTCCTATGACCAAATTGATTTTTCAAATTACAGCCAAAATATTTTTTTGATTTGGATAAAACCTAATTTCCGACATGCGAGAATCATAACTGCGTGTCGCCAATAAGTTTTCATCAAAATGAAAAAATTATATCGGCTGTAATTTGAAAAATCAATTTGGTCATGTGATCCATCAGGAAGACGGCTCTTAACGTGAATCAACAAGACCGTTAATCGTAATTCACAGGTTATATTTAATAATATTGAGCTAATACCAAAAAAAATGATAAGAATTAATGTACTAATGCAATGAGAGTATGTTCACTAATTTTCCGTTGATTAAAAATTTGGAACATGGATTTGTTTTGTCGCTTAATAAATCTCATGAAAAACTTCATTTCTTGGTTGGCATAACGTTATTTGTGGAAATAATTTATATACGAACTGTTTCCATAGGCTCGAGATTATTCTCGTATAAAAATTTAAAAAATCTATACACGAAGTTCCTATTCATGCAGCTGGGATTTGTGTAGCGTTCTCTATAGAACTAATGAGACTATTTCTATACACGGAGTTCCTATTCAGGCGGCTGGGATTAGTCTAGCGGTCTCTATAGAAATAAGTCCTATACGAATTATTTCTATGGGCTCAAGATTATTCTCATATAAACATTCAGAGATTTTATACACGGGATTCCTATTGATGCGGCTGGAATTTGTATATCGTTCGCTATAGAATTAATTCCGGTACGAAATGTTTCTATACACCGAAAGGATTATGTATAGAAATCCAGCGATTCTATACACAGAGATTCTTTTGACGCGACTGAGGTTCGTATAGCGAAATTCATAAATTCTATACACGGGATTCCTCTTCATACGGCTGGGATTTGTATAGCGTTCGCTATAGAACTAATTCCTGTACGAAATGTTTCTCTACACCGAAAGGATTATGGATAGAAATCCAGCGATTCTATACACAGAGATTCTTTTGACGCGACTGAGGTTCGTATAGCGATATCTATAGAAACAATCTCTATACGAATTTTTCCTATAGGTTAAAAATTATTCTCGTATAGAAATTCATAAATTTTATACACGGGATTCCTCTTCATACGGCTGGGATTTGTATAGCGTTCGCTATAGAACTAATTCCTGTACGAAATGTTTCTATACACCGAAAGGATTATGTATAGAAATCCAGAGATTCTATACACACAGTTTCTTTTGACGCGGCTGGGGTTCGTATAGCGATGTGTATAGAAACAATCTCTATACGAATTATTTCTATAGGCTCGTGGTGATTCTCGTATAGAAATTCAAAAATTCTATACACAGGATTTCTCTTCATACGGCTGGGATTTGTATAGCGTTCACTATAGAATTAATTCCGGCACGAAATGTTTCTATACACCGAAAGGATTGTGTATAGAAATCCAGCGATTCTATACACAGAGATTCTTTTGACGTGACTGAGGTTCGTATAGCGATATCTATAGAAACAATCTCTATATGAATTATTCCTATAGGTTAAAAATTATTCTCGTAAAGAAATTCATAAATTCTATACACGGGATTCCTCTTCATACGACTGGGATTTGTATAGCGTTCGCTATAGAACTAATTCCTGTACGAAAAGTTTCTATTCACCGAAAGGATTATGTATAGAAATCCAGAGATTCTATACACAGAGTTTCTTTTGACGCGACTGGGATTCGTATAGCGATGTCAATAGAAACAATCTCTATACGAATTATTTCTATACGCTCAAGATTATTATCGTATAGGAATCTAGAAATTCTATATACGAGGTTGCTATTGATGCGACTGGGGTTAGTATGGCGCTCTCTATAGAAATAATTCCTATACGAATCATTCCTATAAGCCCGAGATTAATCCTGTATAGAAATTCAGAGACTCTATACACGGGGAGATCCTATACATGCGACTTGGGTTCGTATAGCGTTTTCTATAGAAATAATTTCCATTCGAAAATTCAGCCATCGTATAGAAATTATTTCTATACAAACCACGTGTATAGAATCACTAGATTTCTATACATAATCCTCTCGAGTGTATAGATACAATTCGTATAGAATAACGATTAATGTATAGAATGTCATGAAAAAGTATTCGTATAGAACAAATTCGTATAGAAAACTCTCGTATAGAAAAGTTCGAATATCATATACGAAAAACCTATAGAAATTGTATAGAATCATTCTATACGCATTTCGTATAGAGAAGTTCTATACGATTTTTTCATACGTGTCGTTGGCCTCCAATCGACCATTTTTGTTTTTTGTTTTTTGAATTTCTAAGAATTTTCCATGGAATAAAAGCTCTATTTCTAACGAGCATAAATAATTTTATGGAACTTGATATGCACGTGCATGTAATTGGTTCTGTTTCTATTCGAACTCCTATATATAGAAGTTCGATATATCCAAAAGTCCTCAACTCAGATTTTTTATGTATTTATTTATTTATTTTCTCTCTACAATTTTTTGAAAAGATATCCAGCTTACATAGCATAATCTCTCGTTTTTCCATTTAGAAACAACCAAATTTTTTGACTTTATCTAAAGAGGTCCTAGTTAATATTCAATGAACCCCATAAATCTACAACTTCTCCAGAAATAAGCAGTTGAATAAATAACAGCTTTTGAAAACCTGGTATTGACATTCATGTTACAGAATAGTTTATAGTAAATAGTCCACAGGACTATTAGGTAGTCAGTTGGTTC